CTGACCCGGATCACACACTCCCGATCATTCCCATTCACCTTGGGACATCTACGAGCGTGTACCACGTTTTATGGGACTTCAGCTCGCAGGGAGATTTTGTTTACCCTCGTGTGGTTGAGGAAGCTCGTTAGGCTACCTTGGGGTCCCGCTCTCCTATCTTTGTTAAGATGCAACACTTCTTCGATCAAACGGGACCTGACCTCCCCTTTTCCCTTGCCCTCCAGCGGCCGAATAATACCCAGGAGTCTAGCCACTACCATTCCTCCACACACATTGAAGTGTTGAAGACTAGGTACGAATTTGTCTGAGGCACTCCCCGGTCTCGCAAGTTTCGTGGCATGAAGGCTGAATAGGTGACGTAGACACTCGTTCTCAAAATGATGTGTAGTCAGACCCATCATGTCCCCTTCATTGGTACCACGAGCGGCACCCCCTTGAACATACCTCCTTGGGACCCTCATCCCTCAGGGTCGCACCCGAACATCGCCTTCACTTCCCCTCGTCAGTTTGCTCACTTTGTACGTTAGAAGAACTTTACACTCTACTAGGCGAACGACATGGATCTTCTTCACTACGATCCTCTCTGTCCAGAAGTTGAGCTCGTCTCCTTGGAGTCCGATCCCCTCGACTCTCCATCTTCGCGGCTCTCATCTTTACACCCCCCCCACAACCTACGGATACCCCTTTGACATCCCAGGTTCCAATGTCGTCCATTGCCGAGTCCATGCATATGTCTTGTGCCGATGCAGACGTTGAGAGAAATCTTCCCCTTTTCATAATTCATTAAACCCGATAACTCCCTTTGGGGTGCACCCGTTCTTTTTGCTCACAAAGGGGACGGAACTCTCTGTCTCTGCATCAATTATCGCAGCCTTAACGGTTACACGGTGAAGAACAATTGTCCCGTGCCTTGCGGCGACGAGTTGTTTGGCCCGGCTGGCAGGCAACCGCTTCTTTACGAAGATGAATCTTCGTAGTAGTTACCTTTAGATCTGCGTTGCTACAGAGAACCAGCCGAAGACCGACTTTAGATTGCGCTTTGGCCGCTATGAGTTCACAGTGATGTCATTTGGCCTCACCACTGCACCCACCACCTTCCCGACAGCGATGGGAGATATGTTCAGGGACATCCTTGAACAGTACATTCTCGTGTACCTGGACGTCATATTGTCTACAGTCGTAACTTAGAAGATTATCTCAGACACCTCCACGATGTCCTACAATGTTTATGCAAGCATGGCTTCTATGCCAAGCTCAATAAGTGCTGTTTTGCCAAACACACTGTACTTCTTAGGACACCTTGTGTTTGACCAGGGTCTCCATATGGAGGACACGAAGATCACTGCTATCGTGGAGTGGCCCGCCCCTTCATCCTCTAAACAATGTCGCAGTTTCCTCTGATTTACTAACGACTACAGTAACTTCATCCGAGGATACACCAGGTACTCTTACGTCCTTACCTCCACCCTCCTCCAGAAGAACCCACCATGGTTGTCGGTACCCCTCTGTGAGGATGCCTTTCGTGCCCTCAAGAAGGTGGTAACTTGTGCAGCGGTTGCTCGCCACCTGATTTTGATCGTACTTCCATGGTCACCACCGATGCGTCAGATTTTGCAGTAGGAGTTGTACATTCCTAGGTGTTTCCACTATACCTGCTTCCCCTTATCCCCATATTTGCCACTTTCCTCCACCTCGTATTGACACTGCTTCTCGATTGACACCTATCCGTCCACCACTTCCCTGCACTGCCAGTCCTCCTGTTACTTACTCTCCGACCATTGCGGGACTGTCGAGGTTCGTTCTAGAGATTGTCCGGTCACTTTCTACTCCTGTCATTGACTGCCCACCGAGATAAACTAGGCTGCCGACAAACGTGAGGTTCTCGCAGTAGTTTATGGTACTCGACACTGGCGTCACTACCTGCACGGGGCCCTTCACAGTGTGCATGGACAAACCACTCTTGGACACATCATGATCTTGTGCTTTTGCTATTTTTTCCTTTCAGCACTGAGGCAGCTGCCTCCAGGACCTTAGGATTGTTTCACGATGCGTTTCATTTCCTGCTGCTAGTTATGAGATTATGTAGCGTAGCCCGCATCGCATGGACTCCGCATCCTAGATTTCTCAGCTTTATTGTTGCAGAGTTCCGTTGCTTCTGCGGAAGCGTGTTTATGGCTCTTGCAATCCACTGCAGGTCTGAGGATCATTCGGTGGGCCTCTGGCTACCCTGGCCTAGAGCCAGGGCAATTTGGCTATTTATCTGTTCGGCCTGTTGAACCAGGCTGTGTGTTCATTTAGTTCAGTACCACTGTCTGTACCAGTCCGGTCCAGTCAGTCTGCTGGGGATATACCCCGGCTGCAGTCTGTATTTTGATTCTTTCTTCATTTGCACACTTTGGAGTACGTGCGTGTTGAGTATATTATGTCGCTTAGCCTGGATCTCCCTCATCCTCATCCCTTCGTGTGGACACTGACAGACCTTCAATCCCGGCAGGTCCGTCACATTTTGTTTGTTTTGTTTTAGACTGAATGTAGACTGAATCGTGGATTGGCTGATTTTGTCCTCGTTGGTCCTATTGCCTCCGAGTGTTAGGTAGGTCCAAAGCTCCCCCTAGGGCTTTTTTCTGTCTCGGTTCGGGTCTGCAGTAGTCCAGTAGGCTGGTTTTGTCAGCTGAGGTTGAAGTAGAATCTAGAAATAGCTTAGGGACTTGTGGATTGCTCTCTCCTAGTCTACTTGTGTGCTTCCGCTGTGTATCGCCCTTATCGGTGTGGATTGCTCTCTCATTGTCAACTTGTCATTGCAGATGTGTATGGGAACATGTGGATGCCATGCTGGATTCGTTTTCAATCAGGCACATAACACAGACATGCAGACGGTCTGGATGGCCGTCCGGACGTCCAGATGGTAACCATTCCCAAACCCAGTGCCTAATCCAATGGACTTGAGCCCAAGCTTAATCTGGCCTCGTCGCACACTAATCGAAAGGGATAAGAGCCCACGCATGGTGTAGGTGCCACCGTGCCTGCCTCAGACAAGGGTAAGAGCCCATGCCTGGTGTAGGTGTTGCCAGGTTGACGACTCCTGTCTTATTCGTGGGGAGCAGCACGTGCTGAGAACCGAGACCCAGGGAAGGGAAGGGATAGTTAACACAACAGGTAGTGAAGTAGCTAGAACAATAGTTAACACAATAGTTAGAACAAAGTGCAATTGTTAGGACAAAAGTTGATAGTTGGTACAATAACTAGTACGACAGCACGATAGGAACTGCTAAGAGAGCAGCAGGATTAGGACATCATTTGAGGGTTATGTTTACGAGTGCTTGCGTAGACTGCATGGCCCTACATGGCAGAAATTATCGCCCGTCAATGGAATGCATATTAAGCATATTGCACCAGAGCAGTACTTTGAGGCTGCTGGTTTAAAGAGCCGCTGCCCTTGTGGATGTAGAGGGCATAGTCAGTGGTTAGGAGGGGGATGAAAAGGTGAAGGGTCTCTCTTGAATGTGACTAGATGTAGCATAGTGGGGCAATTCAAACTGCCAGCTGTCAGTGCTATTGGCAGTGATTTTGCAGTAGAATGTGGTAGTGTCAGTGCTTTTGGGAAATACCAACTGATGTAAGTCGAGTAAAAAATCCCACCATCTCGGTCAAGGTAAAAGCTTCTCTTTCTCGTTGGCTTGTTGGAACTACTATTCGAAGCAGGATGTCTGCAACGATCGTAAATGTTTTATCAAAAAATATTATCGTTTTTTTTAGATCTAGGCGTATGGTCGTTTTTATATTATTTAATTGATTGAAGGACTATATTTGTGGTTTTTTTTTTTAATACTTCTCTCTAGTATTTGAATCAAATATTGAACTAATTTTTCATCTGAGATACACTTTACACATTTGTGGATTTTTTTTTTTAATACTTCTCTCTAGTATTTGAATCAAATATTGAACTAATTTTTCATCTGAGGCACACTTTACACAAGTCTACAGTCCATCAAAGACCTATGAATTGGTGAGTATTGTTTTGTGCTAGACCCAAGGCATTTACCATCCTTTGTCGAAAAATGGAACTCTTTTCGCTTTGAAAAGATGGGAAAAAATGCTATTGTCTGTCCCCTACGCCTCGTTCTTTAGTTGATATGAGTAGTTTCATGATGTTCTCAATCAAGGGAATGTATCTCCTGCTTGGGTTCTTAGCGCACTTATTTACTACTAACTGTTTACTTCAACTCATGTCGGAGATTGTTCGCTATTAAAATAGTTTACAGACTTGCAGTGGAAGAGTTTCACAGGTGGACTGCTTAACATCGCGAAGCTTAAGACATCCGTTGACACGAGCCTAACTTTATGAAGCACCTTCCAAGGCTTGCGCCTCCAACTCGGACATTCCATTGTGGCCTTCCGTGTTCACTACCAGCCTAGGCCCGAGCCGAAAAGCTCTTACCTGGAATACCCGTAAGAGCTCAACTCAGGCTTCGGTGAACTGGTGATATAAAACTGCGGGACGTTCAAGCACTGCATTTCTTAGCTACCGAACGGTATGCCTGTGGTCATCAACTGGGTAATGGGGGGAGAGGATACCCCATGTGGAAAGGGCTGGCTTGATGACAAAGATCGAGATGTGCTGGTGGTTTAAGCCACCATTATCTTCAGTGGCACCGTGATGTCTCAACTTGTGAATATAGGGTCGTGGATAGACACTGCTGAGGCCTGGTGGGCAGCAGAGGTGCAATTTCACTTCCTGTCCTCCCTAAGGCTTGAAAACCAGTCCGAGAAACGTCTTGCAGGGCTGAGTAGGGCTGGTGGACGCGGTGGTGGTAACAGGAATGGGATAATATTCTGAGTAGGATTTACCTGCGGTTCAGTCTTCCAGCACGAGTCACCTCGTGTATTTTGCAGATTGGTATGTTCTGTCTCTGCATTTCACTCTTTTTTGTTCTTACTCGACTGTTTTGTTGATGACTAATATTGCCGCTGTTTGTTCGTTGGTGGGCTTTTCCTTACAGCTGGAAGAAGAACGAGAGACTAAAGTTGCCTGCGTGAGACCCTGCTTCCTTGTTTTGATTTGCTGCAGGGGATGAATCACTGTAGGTAAGCTTTCGGTAATGGATCACAAACAGCTTTGTGATGGAGACTAGGGGCCTGAAGACGGCCTGACTTTTTTTTTTTTTTTTTTTTTTTAATTTGGACCATTTCTCGATTTATGCGTGTCATCCTTGCGCAGGGGCCATGCTAATCTTCTCTGTATCGTTCCAATTTTAACGGAAGTCCCGAAGGACTTAAGACGGCCTGACATGGTGTGGGTGGTGGTGGTTTTCTGGATTTGCGGGCAAGAGGGGCTATAGGAAAGAAGCAGTCGGCATGCACAGTGTTTCAGTGTTTTATGTATGTGCGGGCGCTGAACAGTGTTGTGACGTACACGAGTATTAGGCAGGGATTGCATGGGTGTTCAATGTGGACTTGTGCACCTGCGTGAGCATCTCTGCAATATTTAAAGTGCTTGGCAATGAAATCTGTGTTGAAGAGGTTCCAGAGTTTAAGGACTGGGTCTAGTGTTTTGTTTGATTGATTGGCGAACGGTGATATTGTAGGTTCAATCCTACTAAGCCTATCTGGATTCTGGGTGTATATCTTAGTTGGTAGAGCATTGGGCTTTTAACCTAATGGTCGCAGGTTCAAATCCTGCTATACGCATAAGGCCACGACGTGGGGTAGTAGACATACAGTCTAGAGAAGGTGCCACTGTCCTGACCTTTTTTTTCTACTAAGTCAAGGTTGATTTATGGTTCTGAGGGGCAGCCTCGAATGGTGTTGCTCCCATGAGGATTCAAGTTCAACGTTTGTTTGTTCTTCAATGTGTGTGTACTCTTCATCCACAAGACTGTACTGTAGTTGTATGTGTACATTATGCCCGGGCTTTGTACGTCAGCCACAAGGCTGTGTACTGCAGTCATTTGTGTACTTCATCCCTAGGGGATCTTTTGGGGGACAACCTCACAATTTACCAACAGCACCAGGGAGAATTGGCTCCTAGGTGGGCAAGGAATTCCTGCCTGATTCAAACGTCAACACTGTCAACAATGTACTGCAACTGGTGAGCGTTGCTTCAACAGACAGTGACGAAAGGGGAGGAATCGGAGAATGTCTAACTAGCAGTGCCGGAACTTTGAAGCCAGTGAATGTGAGCGTTGCTACTAATAGATGGAGCCTCTCCCCAGGTGTTAGTGGTGTCTGCTCTTACCAGCAGACACTAACACTGGTGGGGGAGTTGAAAAAAATAAAATAAAAAAGCGCGTTACTATTTTATTGTGTTATTAAAACTTTATTCACAGGGCAGTCAGAAGTCACAAGAATGCCCAGAAAGAGTCGGCCCATGTCAGATGGGGAGTGCAAGGAGAGCTAGTTCTTTGGCCGAGCGGCCATACCAAATAGCCGCATCAGACAGCCCTAGCCCTTCCGAATGCGTAAACCACACAAATGGCATGGTTGTCTCAGTGGACAAGATGACGGAGAGGTAAGACAGAAGGTTGTGAGATCATACGACCTCCCAAGCAGTCCAATACTCGGGAACAAACTCACGACTGTGCTATAATTCGGACCGAACTCACAGCTTCAAAATTCAAATTCAATTGGCTGTGTCTCATTTGAGATCTCATCAAATGGAATACTGCAGCAACGTTAGTTCTGACTGCTTTGCAAGGCGGAGAACAAGAAGAAAAGAATGGCACACCAGGCATAGGAGGGGCATATATACTTCATTCGCGTAAGGTTCACTTGGCTGTGAGTGAGGTAACTGTGAAGGAGAGTGTCGGATGAGGAGTGGCGAGCTGCTTCACTAGGAAGAAAATTTGACAAAAAGGTTGTGAAGTCTATGTGTGGCGCTTTTTGCGTACTTCTACATGTAGAGGAGTAGCCGGCTGCTTCACTAAGAAAATTCGACAAAAAAATTAACAAAAGAGTAAAAGATAGATCTGGGACTGTGGATTGGTGGGCGTTGTGAAGTCCATGGAGACTGGTCTTTCAGCCAGCCTGAAAAGAAGGAAACCAGATGCTTTGTCGATGCCGTATCTCCAAAGTTTTGGTCACCTTCCCCGGTAGTCTTGTTCAGGTGTTCTCTGCAACTTCAAAGAAGTCTTTTTTCAAGTTCTTTAAACTTTTTTTTACTGTCCTATCAACTTTTTTTACTGTCCTGTCAACTTTTTTTACTGTCCTATCAACTTCTTTTTTACTGTCCTATCAACTTTTTTTAACTGTCCATCAACTTTTTTTACTGTCCTATCAACTTTTTTTACTGTCCTGTCAACATTTTTTACTGTCCTATCAACTTTTTTTACTGTCCTATCAACTTTTTTACTGTCCTATCAACTTTTTTTACTGTCCTATCAACTTGTTTTTACTGTCCTACCAACTTTTTTTAGGGGTTATGTGTTATGGTGTAGCAGGGGGTTGAGGGAAGGAGTTAGTGTCTGCCGCTTGCAATGTATGTAGAGTTGGGTCGTGGCGGTGGGGACCAGCAAAGATAGGATATACAGTTGGTTTCAGTCCTTCGTCGTCTTTGACGTCCTGCAAAGCTTTGCTAATCCCTGACTCGAGGTGAGGCTCTTCTTTTCTCCGTTACGTGTCTTTTAATTGTCTGGGTCCTCTGTGGTGGTTTGCTTCTGTACGTGATTTCTAATCGATGTTTCCAGCGTTCTCATCAACGGAGGGGATTACTCCAGAACAGCCAAAGGGAGCCATTCGGGCCACGGCACAACAGATAGACATGTATGGTCTGGATAAAGAGCAGAGAGGAATTTTGAGACAAACAACATCTGGAAGATGAACGCGCTTCACAGGTTTCGAGTGATACAAGGTGCTTTCATTGGTCACTCGACTAACTATTTGGGTTGCGGACAAGGTGTCTATGAACCGGGGAAGGCGAGGAAGATGCAATTATTGGTTTCACCCACACACTTGCTGGCTTTACTTGCCGTGTGACCGTAAGTAATACTCACCAAAAGATAGAGTATTGATATTGCCCCTCGTTCTGCTCACGGTGGAAGGTCTACTTCTGCGAACTTTCTGGGTGCGGCTTTTTCTTTTTCCACTGCACTCTTTGTTTCCTTTCTGATGTCTTTAATATTCAGACCAATACATGTTTTTGATGTAATGAGGAGATCAAAGTTTTGGGGAAAAAGCATTTTCTCGATTTCAGAATGCGAGCTCAGATGATCTCAGCTGTTGTTGCCTTCATAGCCATTAGGCTGCTGATCCTGGTGATTGTGTTACACCACGTGTTGTTCCAGCAGTTGTCATCTTCCAAGGATGCCGATATCTGCAATAATGACACCTTGTTTTGTCCCGTCTGCTGTTTAATATGGTCCACTACTGCCTGCAGAAATGATGCTCCCAAGCTATTGTCATTAGAACTCTTTTATAATAAATAAGGTCCGAACGGGGTCATCTTTGTGGGGTTCAGCTCAAGTCATCGGCCCAGTATGTTTGGTGAGGTGAGGTGGGTTTATCCAGTCCACAGTGGACTGTAGCCTGGCCTCCCCCCCCCCCCCCCCCCCCCCC